ATTTTTTAATAAGCTATTTTGCTAATTTACTAGCTAATTTTGCTAGCTAGTTTTGCTTCTAACGACCACTGGCTCTGATATAAATATATATCATACTATATATTCAACCTCTAAAGTAGTAAATGAATCTCTTTACGTTACAGTATATAGCTGACCAGATGAAATATATTATTAATCAATCGATTTTCATTTATGTATACTAAAAATGTTTGTTCCTAAATTTAACGCATTTTTTTTTTATATTAAAATTTCTTTTTATGGACAAGTATTACTCGCAGTAAGGTTTTCCTATTATACGAATTGACCAATAAGCATTGCCCTAAATGATGCATAAATACATATATATGATGCAAAATCATGAGATCACAGCCAAAAATCTATATATAATGATAATCGCCACCATAAAAATTGCAAATGTTTGTTCGGAGTAAAAACGTTTTGATTTTTTTTTATTTGACTATCGCAACAACGGTACGTACGTATTGTTAATCATCTGTCATGTTAAATTTTGTTACCGCTATTTGATTCATAAGCCAAGAATAATATCATTAGATAGTGTTATTCCTTTTCTCATCTCAAATTTATGATATAATTATGAGTGACGATATTCGATCTGATGTTGAAGTAAGTTTTTTTTTTATTATTAGGACAATTCCATTAAAATAAATTATTATTTTAACTAAACGAAATTATGTCTCGCACCATACGATTTATTCAGAAAGTTATTAACGAAAACCATGTAGTGGTTTTTAGTAAAAGTTATTGTCCTTATTGTAATCGTGCTAAGCAAACCTTGGATCAACTTGGAACTGAATATATAGCTTGGGAACTAGATAATATGGGTTTGTCTTTTAGCTAAACCGGTAATATATGTTGTATATACGTTGCCTCGTTTACAACTTCTCAAAATTTTTTTAGATGATGGGCCGGCAATCCAAAATTACCTTTCTGAAAAGACTGGACAACGAACTGTTCCAAATATCTTTATTGGAAAAAAAAGCATTGGAGGTAGGAAATTAATTTATTCTTAATTATTAAAATTCTCATGGTTTCATGGACTAAATTCCTTTAATTATAAGGAAACGATAAACTTCAAGACCTTCTTCAGAAAGGACAACTTCAATCATTATTAAAACACTAGTTTCGATGATTTTTAGAAGCTAGCTCCTTATGCAACGTATACAACGGTTGTGTAATGATTGTCCATTATTAGTAATAGATTTACTTTATTTTTGCCGAAAATGTATAAATTTATTTTTAGCCACTTGAAAAAATGACGAAAGTAAAATTATTTAAATAAAGTAGACTCTTTGGTATAGATCCATAAATGATGTTCCACAATTGTGTTTTTGAGTTACGTAGATGCACACGCGCTTCTTGATTAATTCATGCAATAAAACATACCGATACTGTGCGATCGAGCCTTAGCTAAGCCACCAAAACTCATAAGAAGTGCCCCTGTGAATTCTTGATCTATTTCTTTATATTGTCGTTCGTTTCAAATAATATCTCTCCCCTCAATTAAACAAAACCTATTTAAAATATAATGGCCACTTCAAAAACTAAAGGTTCAACCTCAACCACACCAACAGCTTCTACGAATACAACAGTATCTATTGGCAGTTCGGCTTCAACAAAGCATTACGGAATAAATTCTGTTGCTGGTGAACTTAGTGCAAAACGGGTCGCAAAAGGGAAAGAAGTTGTTGGAAAAGAAATTGCTGCTGTATGTCGTCCTTGGATCCTTTACTGATTGGTTAATTTTTCTTACTGACTCGTTCATTTTTGTTAATTTGTTCATTTCAGCCTGATTTTAATACCTTCGATATTTCAGTATTGCGTAGATATAGACGGATTCATAAACTAAAGGTCAAGGACTACGCATCTAAAGAGGAATTAGTTAGCGCTGTTTCTCGCCATTACGCATCTCAATCTCCTAAAGAGGTCGAAGCCATTTCAAATTTTATTTATTCTGTTCATCACAAAGGTTTTTTTTTTTTTACTGTTCCATTACTTGGTTTGCATGTAGTTTTACCCTGTCATTAATGATCCTTGTTTCTTTCAATAGATACGCTGTTGAAGCTTCCGATTCCATGATTAACGAAATTTATCTTATCTATTTACTTTTTTTTGCGAGGACTCTTAATATAGACTGGAGTTTAGTAGAGCGGGTACCTTGAAACATGATTGGTTAATTAGTATTAGTGTTTTTAAGTTATTCGAAAACTGCACATAGATATATTTTTTATAAGGACGTTTAAAAAAATTTTTTTAATTAATAAAGACTTTACTAAAACGCACCTATGTGTGCATTATCTCAAAAATTACTAATTAAGTGGTGTACATAAAATTTTTTACTGACTATATAAAAAAAAAATTTTATAACTTGTTACGATGAAGTTTATTTTAATGATAGTATAATTGTGTAAAAAAAAATATATATATTTTTGCGGCACTATAGTGTTAGAGCATTGTTTTATATATATAATTATAAAACCGATGTTGTATATAAATCAAACCAATTTTTATTTAAAGCAAAATTAATTTTTTTAAGAGTTTAATAAAATTATAATAAAATTTTATTTGTTTTTAAAATTTTATTAAAAAATTTGTTTTTAAAATTTTATTAAAAAATTTTTGTTTTTAAAATTTTATTAAAAAATTTGTTTTTAAAATTTTTGTTATATAAAACTAGTTATACTATAATTTGGTATGCCTGTAAACACCAACAACATAGCGTGGCGCGGGTGGCCTTTATACAGCCCGTATTTCAAGCCAGGAACTTGCTGCCTAGTTAGGTTCCCACATGAGGAAGTTGGTATTTCATTGTCGGCAAGCCTTCCACTTATTCCCCCAGGTACTACTAACCCGTGTCTCAAGCCAAGTTCCTGCTGCTGCCACTGGTTTGCATCACCCCAGGATTTAACATTCTTTTTCTGAATATAATGCTATTAATTTACCCAAAATTCTAGTACCTCGCCTTTTCAAAACTACTAGTATCTTTATTTTCAGTATCTTTTAGCTGACTACTAATTCAGATAGCTTGGAAAGGATTCTAGTTTTGTAGTATTTGTTAATTTTTTTTTCTTTGGTTAATGTTTCAATGGTCTTATTAGTAAAGCAACTTGCTAGTACTTTTGTTTTGTATAGTTAACTAGCCTCAAATATAACCTATTTTAGCAGTTACTATTTAAGTTTGTATTATTTCTTTATTTAAGTCTTGTCAAGCAAACATTTATCTTTTTAGTTTTTTAGATTTATATAGTCACAAGAATTTATTTTGGGCTTGCATCATCTTAAACCTGGTTTGTATACTTTTGTATAATTTATATATTATATAAATATTTTATAACTCACCTTTGAAGATTAAAAAAAAAAAAAATAAATATTTTATAATCTTCCAATCTTGTTAGTATTACTAAAAATTACAGAAATTTTATTCTAATTGATTATTAAAAAACAATAGTTATTATACAAATAAAATATTTAAAAATTTTGTTAGTAGATATTAAATTTTTAATCAGTTAACATGTTGCTTAGAAGTACAACAACTTAACTATTTAACTAAGTTATTACTGTATATTTTATAATAAATATTTTTAATTTTATATAAAGCAAATTATTATTAATAAAATCTAGAAATATATAATAATTTAACTAAAAAGTAAATACTGTAGATAATCTTTAAATAATTCGTCAACTCTTTCCAACGATTATCTGGTCAACAAAAAACAAGAAACTGAACTATGGTTAGCACTATAGAAGACGTTTAAGTAAATAATAAACTTGGTTCTACAGAAGTAGGTGTATTGTCAACAAAGTACCAAAAGTGTAAAACCGAGGAGCAGTCTACTTTGGACTGGTTTTAGTAGAGGTCAAGCTCTTCTTCTAACAGACTCCTCTGCCTATTCAGCATCCAAATCAGAAGAATATTTTGGAAACACAGAACGTCTAGAACGATACTAGGAGTATTATAAGTTTAAGGTATATCTATATAATCATAAACTTACAAAGAATAACTACAGAAAAGTTTCATTGGCCCACCACTTTTTTTGAAGAAATTTTGTCAAAAAGTGGATGTTTTAGCTTACCCCCTTTAAAAGATCAACACGTAATTTTCCAAAACAAGTCGGTATTGTTTACCTGTCTAGAAATGGATAGGACTTTTATAACGGGATATCAGGCAGATATTCGGATTAAGCAACCATATACGGACTATATGACAACACAAATGGTATACATGCCTCGACCGGAAAAACTATTTGACAATACTTCGAGACTTCATATTTTAGGCTACTCTGTTTTATTTAGTTTTCTTTTTTTTATATTTTTTTTTTACTATACATATATTATTAGGATAAAGTTAGATATAGAGCTTTTTTACCTATTAATATGTAATTTTTAAAGTCTGACACAGGCCTATAACTGTGACCTATCAGATTCTCTTTTCTTTTTCTTCACCCTTTTGTCTTTGTATTTGTTTTTTAGTTTTAGTTTTCTTTTTTTTAGTATCTTCTTTTTAGTATTAGTGTTAGTATTAGTAAAAATTTTTTTTTTCTTTCCACTTTCCTACGAGAAGATGTTATCAGATTGGTGATATCCTATTGTAGAGCAGTGGTTTGATAGTGTTCGTCTGAGAGAGATAGTGTTTCTATTTTGAAACTTATCATAATATATTCAGAGATGTATTTGCTCAGTGCAGCTGATCGCTTGTAAGTGCTCTCGAAGTAACTGCGGGATGCCACTCCTAAATATTATGCTAAGGTCTTTTGTAATACCATACAATCATAAAGTAATAAAGGAGACTAAAGACAAGATGGCCTAAGTGGAAAAAAAAAAACTTTAAATAGTTTATATTAAAATTAAAATTAATTTTTAAATAAATTTTTTTAATATTTAATATTTAAACTAAAAAAATATTTTAAAAAATAAACTTTAAATATATATTGTATATAAATATAACAAATTAATTAATTAATATTTTTTAAAAAATTAAAAAAAAGACAATTCTTTTTAATAATTATTTGTATCAATCAATTATTAAAAGCAAGTTAAAATAAATAGGTTTGTGTTCTATAGCTTAACGATTAAGCTTTTAAACTTCACAGACAAGGTCAATAGTTTAAGTCATGCTAGAAGCAAATTAGTTAATTTGTTTTTATAACCTTAGAGGGTTATAATTGAATGCGAAGCCCTGTGGTTAAGTTTAAGTACAAGTATAATTTTGGATTAGGAATTTCTGAAAGGAGATTCAAATGTGAAGAGTGGATACTACATATAATTGTGATGTTATAGAAGACTGTAGCTATGAAGATTGTGTGAATAAATCCTTTGAAACAATGCAGCATCAACATCCTTGTATCTTTAATTTAGACAGTATCAATATTCTTATACTCAACTTGTAAAGTACTTGTTTGGAAGGATAGTTAACAAACTGTACACATTAGTACTTATTTGGATTAAAAGTTGCAGGTACTTGATTGAGAAGATAATTCTCTAACCAAAGTCAAAATAGTAAGAAAGTAATGAATATATAAACAGATTGTAGTAAAAAATTAGCCTTATCAAAAGCAAAAGCACCTCTAGCAATACAAAATGCAAATATTATAGAAGGTAAGAATATGAAGGTTGTCTAATATTCTAAGTATATGTAATGGTATCAAATCAAGCTCTGATCAAACCTATATAAAAGTCTATAACAAACAAGTTTAGGATCTACTAACCTCTGGGTTTATAATTCAAATATTAATACAGCATTACTGAGGTTGATGTAACTCTCTAGATATAACTAGAATTGTTCTAGTCTTATATAACAACATGCTAAAAGCAAGTATAATATAGTAGTATGGTGTCACTAGAGTCAGTATAACTTCTTAGATACAACTAAAATTGTTCTGTATATTTATAAAATATGTCTTAAATCTTACTATAGCAGGTAGTATTTAAAAGAATGATAGAATGTACTGAGCACTATATAATATTAAGACCTAGAGCTGCTGCTGTTAAGCTATAGCAACAGAAACTAGTTTGAGATACAGATTAGTAGTACTTAGGCAGAAATGTGAAAAGAGATACCCAATAATGAAATACTAATTCTGTTATATGATAAACCTAACTAAGCAGCAGCTTTTGGTTTGAGATATAAGCTTTTGCAGTTTTTGGACCAATATCAAAATAACCTTAGAAAAAACAATAATATAGCACATCAAACTAGAAGATCATCAAGATCTATAATTTGAATATTATCAATTTGAAAGTAATATAAAAGCAAAAAGTAGGTGATGCAGGGAACATAGTCTAGCTAAATATAGTAATTTCAAAATACAGGAGTAGTATCAAATGCAGGTCTAATCCTCTTAATTTAATAGCAATATTTTTTCAAGTAGTAGGTATTCTGACTACTAATATTAGTTTTGGCTATAGCATGCTGGTGATGCAACTAGAATATATTTGGCACCTAATAGGGCAGCTAGATAAATGTCAGGTCACTAAGTTAGATTAACATAGTCTAGTCTAGGTAAGGTTCTTTAAAATTAAATCAAATCAAATATTAGACTTATTTGAATTTAATTTGATTTGAAAATCTGGATTTGAATTTGATTTGATTTAAAAAAATCTGGATTTGAATTTAATTTGATTATTTGATTTTAAAATTTAAAATTTTAGCTATTTATAAAAATCTTTGATTTTCTTAAAATTTTATTAAGCTAATCAATTTTGTGTATTAAATAAAAAATATTTTCTATCAAGGTCAAAGGACTCCTTAAAATGGTTGAGCCTGCTTAAAGCTCTAAGCTAATATGTTCATTATTTGGATATAAAAGGGTTGGTATATAGGTACAGAGGGTTTAATAGGTACTCCCTTAGTTGGAGTGCAGGTACAGTATAGCATCTAGTGTAAAACCTAGTATAGTAGATACTTAAATAGGTGCTCAAAAGGCGCAGATATGGCTAGTTGTACTTTACAAATATGTATAGCTGTTAGGAATATTCTAATAATTAAAAATACTACTAATATTTGAATAAAGAGCAACATAACAAAGAGGTCACCTTAATATTGAAAAAAAAATATTTTTCTAATCAAAATATCTCTAGTTTCATAAAACCAAATTAGCAATTGTCTTAATAAAATTTTGATAAAATAGCCTTTAGAACTATAACTTTTTAAATTTTAGCTGTTTATGAATGGCTATAAGTTGATCTCTGCTAAGTAAGTATTTAATATAGTGTTATTAAGAACTTGGATCCATCTAATTCCCAT